CCAGAAACCCAAACGGCTCCGCAAGGCCCCGGTGCCACTGCGGGACACCGGCGCGGCTCTGCACTCCTCCGGCGGGGCGCTCGGTGATGAGCGGCTCTTCCTTTGCTTTCTGTTTTTTGGTTGGTTTTCTTCCTTTTTCTTTTTTTTTTTCTTTTTTTTCCTTTTTTTTGTCGGTCGGAGTTTACAGTGACATTTTCTTAGCACATTTCGGTGACCCTCTTTTATTTTTTTGCCAGTGCTATAATTAACTACATACAAAGAATGCGCCTCGTTTACACATGGCAGCCAGGAAAGACGCCTGAGCTTTGAAGACCGCTGCTATCGCGTTTTCGATCATGTTTCCCCACATATTACACCACGAATTCTCCATGTGTGGTAGTTTCAGAGTTATACGTTTTTGTCTTGAACGTGTTATTTTGTTTGCCCGCGCATTTATGTATTTACGGATTGATTTATGTAACCGAAAGTAAAGATGAATCTTTGTTCACCCCCCCCCCCTTCATCACACATGCCTGTGAATTATTCGGTATAATGCGTGTGCGTGTGCGCGCGACTTGTGCATATGTACAAACACATATTAACACAACCAACGGGTAGGAATTAAATTATTGTTCGGTTTGACACTAAAAGTAATTTCCATGGAAGAACTGCGTTTCGTCGTTCGAGACGTTTGGTTTTCTTTCTGCCATTTTGAAATAAACGCACACAATATTAGAAATAGGTAAACAAAGGGGGGGGGGGACATACGAGGTAAAATCTGTCAATCTGCCTGAGATAAAATATTAAAAAGAGATGGTGTGGGCTTGGTGACAATTTCTTACCAGAGCCTCTGCTAGAATCAACATAATAGAGTGTTGTGGGGCAAGAATATTGTGTACGTATTGTTAGTTATAGATCAGCCCCCTCCATGGTTATTTTCGAAAATAGGGAGGCTAACGTCGTAGGATTCATGGCAGTAGAATATCCAGTAAAATACATTTCAACAAATCAGTGGACTTTGTAAAATCTCTCTGTTTCGTGACCTTCGGGTCTTTTTCGAGTCTGTTGCCTTGGCCCAACGCTGACATGCTGAAATTTATAGTCCAAGATTTTAAGACCTAGTTTGTCTGCATTTTTTGGCTTTTTTTTTCCCTCTAACAAACACAAACATCAAAATAAGGTGGTTTCAAAGAAAAGCGCCATAGCATATCGTAAACTCATTAGGTCCAGACGTCTAGCCATCTCAATGGTTTTATTATACCGCGGTTCTTCCTGTTTTAAAAGAATTATAGGTATCTTCTCGACAATGGATGGGAAGCAATGCAACACCTTTTCCTGGCACTGCATGCTTTTGCCTTTTTTTTTTTAATAGAGGTAAAAAACATTAAACACCAGGTCTCTCAGCTCTCCCCTTAATCTTGAATTAACCGAACTGCTCGTAAATATTTACGGGTCCTTCATTTTAATGGTTGCTCTTTAAACAAAGCATTTTTTACAATGAACTTCATCTCAATTATCTTGATAAAGTCATGTGTGTTTATAAATGCAGAAGGCATGAGACGCGCTGCTAAATGAGCTCTCGCCAGCAAAGCTGGACGTTTGGAAGCAGCCGTGTCCCCCCAGAGCTTCCCAACCTTCCGATTAAAGAGCGCAGAGGTTAGAAACGCCAAAAAAAAAAAAAAAAAGGTTTAAGCGAATAGGCATAATTTTGCTTCACTGGCCCTGGAGGACCGGTGCGGAAATATTTCCTAAATTATCCCAAGAGACGGCTGGTGTTTCAAAGACCGCTCGTACGTAAGGCATTCGGGAGCAGTGCGGCAGCGGGCGCACCTACACGGCGCGGCCGAAGCCGGCCTCTCCGCCGCTGACCTCCAAGAGCAAATGTCTGTTAGGCACGGGGGGGGGGAAGTGATTTTCCTCCGGCCTTTGTGGCTGCCAGAGGTGCTGCTGCCCCCGGCCGGGTTTTC